TGCAGAAATCAAGATCTGCTCTGCTCTGTCCGTCCAGTTGTTGCTCTTGCCGGTTTGTGGGTGCAAATTCCTTTGATTTTTCGGTAAGAACAGCCACCAATTCCTCTATTCTTCCTTGAATTAACTTGGGTTACTCTAATTTGTGCTTGTGGTTCTCCAATTTTCGGTAGATCCCCCTAAATTTCCCTGCACTTCCTGCCGGCTTCCCCAATCTGCAGCTTCGGTTTCTGCTGGCTGGAATTCTGGTATGGATAGCTCCTCCAAGTCAAGTTTATCAATTAATTGCTGCTTGTGTTGTTGAATTTAAATCAGCTAGTGGTTGCCCCTGCATTGTCCGAATTTTGCTGGAAAAAAATGGGGGAATTTCGGTAGCTTTAAGTGGGTTTTGTTTAAATTAAGTGGAAATTAGCTTCAGTAATTGTTGTGAATTTGTCTAGAGAAAAATCCCATGAATTAGCCATTGTTTTGCCAATTTATGAAAGTGCAGTTACTGTTCATGACGTGATCACTGTTCACGGGCACTGTTTACGCACTGATGTCCAACAATTAACGGGGATTAAATGATTAGTTGTAATATAAGAATAAATTAGAAGATGTCTGGTCACATGGAGACTAATAGAAATAGCATTGTGATTAGGGGTGATCCTAATGAAGTTTTCACTTTGAATTTGCGATAGTATGATATTAATTTTGGGGTATTTTGATTAGGTTCTTGAGTGTTTTGCCACCCGAGTAGTTGGCTTGAGTTCCGGATTTGAGGTAAGTAAATTATAGTAACACCCTTCAATTTCAAAGCATGTTTTAAATTATTTTTGAGATGGTGGCAAGGTTAAAATTGATTTTATTAGCACCGAACATGATTAATTTGAAATGGAATTATTTTGGTTTTCATTGAGTAGAGCATGCCACTTGCAACTTACTGAACTGCTCTAATGATTTAAGAATTTTTGTAAATTATGATTTTTGTTAAATTCATGCCCACATGGAATTTTTTTGGTTTATTTTTTTAATTTTGAGATTGATTGTGAATTATGAATTTTTTTATAAATCTTGCATGGTTTTGTCTCTGATATAGTCATGATTACTGACGCCCGCCAGTGGAAGTTTGCAAACGTTGGCACATGTCGACATGTTTACTGATAGGACCAGTTCATTTTGAAATCCTATCAATGGGATAAAACATTGGTTACTACTGTGTCCGCCAGTGGAAGGTTTATAAACGCTGGCCATGACTTATAGATGAGACAATATTACTGAATTTTCTTCTGTATTAATGGTTTGTCATTAAACACTTTGCTATTGAACTGAATTTGATTCTGTATTAACAGTTTATCATTGAACATTTTGTTATGTTAAACTGTTTATCAAGCATGCTAAAAATTTTACTCGAGAGCTATCCATATTTACTTACTGAGTTATCTCATAATTTTTCCTTGTCCACCATTTTAGGAAGCGAAGTCAAGGACGGGGAAAAACGAGGGGAGTGACGAGTTAGAAGGCTAGCCACTTGTAATTTAATATAAATTTTAGATATAGATCATGATCTTGTAAGTTAGATTTTAATTGGAGATTTTATAAATCCATTTAATGGATTGTTAGTTTATAAGAGATTTGACCTTGAGATTTTGAACTTAAATCATGTTGGACATAGAATTATTTTGAAATATCTGATTTAAGTTATTGGATTGTGAGATGTGAATTGGATAAGTTTCGAGCCTTGTGCATTTGTTGGACTCTCTCACGAGTGTACGGCGTTTGTTACGCCTCAGATTTGGGTTCTGGGGTGTGACATTATGAGTAGCCAAAAACAGAAAGCGTATTTTGCAGTCGAGGTTCCAACCCCTAGAACAAGGTTTGGAACCCTTGATAAATTTGTTTTGCACAAGATTGTGCAAGAAATTACTAAGGTTCCAATCCCTAAAGGCAGGTTCCAAGCCTATATGCTAAAGACGTTGAATAACTTACCATACTTGGATTATATTCTTTCCAATCATGCTCCAACGGTCATAATCCTTTGATTGAGCAATTTTAAGGCATATATATCAAACCTTGAAGCACAAAAGGAAGTAAGAAAGAAGAAAAAGAAGAAAAAGAAGAAGAGCTTTTAACCTTAGGAATAAAGAGAGATTGTGCTTCCGCTTTTGTTCTTTGAGAGATCAACTCTTCTGTATTCTTGTTCTTTTTCTCTTTCATTGTAACAAGTGAGAGAGGGATTGGGGAAACTTGTTAGATCTAGTAATCCATCCTTGAGGTATAGGAAGGGTTGAGAGATTTGTAACAAGGGAATTGAATGGTTCAACAGCACCCATAAGCTATAGGGAAAGTGATCGGGTAACCTTGCTAGATCTAGAGAAAACCGACCTTGTGGTATAACATTGGGTTTGCGAGAGATTGTAACAAGGGGTTGAATTGTTGAATGCAGATTATGCCAACAAAGTTATTGCAAATGGTTGCCTCTACATCTAAAAGTTGGAGGAGAGATTTTGAATCCAAAACTAACTCTCAAGCAAGCGACTTGAGGAGTGAACTAGGCACAAATTGTGAACGAACCACTAGGCACAAATTGTGAACGAACCACTATAAATCCTTGTGTTTGAGCTTTCTCTTCCCTTAACTTTTAATTTCTACACCTTAAATTCGTTGCTTGTAATTGCTTGTGCTTGTTCTTGCTTGTGCTTGTTCATTGTTTTGTTTTTGAAAGTTGCATAAAGTTTTTGAAAACCCAATTTACCCCCCCTCTTGGGTTGCCATCTGGGCCAACACATTGGCAACTTAAGTCTGATTCTTGGCCAAATTTAAGGCACCTTCGTTGTTCTGGAAGAACATCTTGCTTCATATTGCTTTCTTAGGCACCTTCGTTGTTCAGAAAAAACATCTTGCTTCATATTGCTTTCTTAGTCAAAACTTGGAACAATCTTTCATTGACCTTAAGTATAAGCAAGTATCATGGTCAAAAAACAAGTTGGTTGACCCCTTGACCACAATTGCTCTAAAGGTGCCCATGACCAAAAATTCTCTAAATGTTTGAGTCATCTCGAAAGGAGCATTCAATTTATCATGGCTATGAATATATTTTACTCGAGTTGCCTGATTATGCTAACTGGCGATGTGAGATTCATGACACTTTACTGCAATAGAGACTTGATGTGCCTTTAAAAGATCTTTCCAACTATGTCATCATTTGTCATGAGTTGTGTTATTGTCTCTCTAGCGATGTTATGGCTAGATCTATCAGCGATAAAAAGGCTTATCACAGATTTAGAGAAATTCATGATCACACATGAGGCCAGAACAATAGTATAAGCCTATACATCAAGTTCAACAAGCTAGGTATTATTGGCCAAACATGGCACATCAAGCCACTAAATTTCAACAACAATGTATATCTATCAACAGTCTTACTATCAAAATAAATAGTGCTTCGCTACTAACAATGCTCAAGATTGGCTCCATCCTTATATGAAGTATTTTGCTAAAGGAATATGGCCTAAATCTTCAAAGGAGGTGCACAACATAAAAAGATCTTTATCAAAATTTTTCATGGAGGACGAAGTTTTGTTTCGCATCAATTTCGCTGGCGAACCACTTCGCTGCCTCTCTTTGACAATCTCAAAAGGTCATGATTGAGATACATGTAGGGGAAGGTAATGAACATCAAGGACAAAGAAAGCTACATGAGCAACTCTTGGCTCATGGTTACTACTAGCTACTAGCTTAGTATGGAACAAGATGTAGGTTTCATTCGACAATATCACACTTTCCAAGTTCATGCCAACCTTATTCATTCTCATCCAAATTTGTTACAAAACATGAAAACTCCTTGGCCTTTTCATACTTGGGGTTTGGATCTTATTGGCCCTGTCCATCCTACGTCTGAGGGTTATGTATAGATATTGGTGGCCACTAAATATGTTACTAAATGGTTGGAAACTGTTCCTCTTCACAAGGCTATGAGTCCAATGGCGTTGAATTTTATCAAGAAGCACATTATTTGCACTTTAGAATCCCATACAAAATTATGAGTGATAATGGAACTCTTTTTATCAATTAGCATGTGTAAAGATTATTGGACACTTATAGGATCAAGCATTGAAATCTACTCCATTCTACCCCTAAAGTAATAGCCAAGCTAAAATAACCAATAAAAGTTTGCTAAAAATTTTG